TGTGTGTGTGTGTGTGTGTGTGTGTGTGTGTGTGTGTGTGTGTGTGTGTGTGTGTGTGTGTGTGTGTGTGTGTGTGTGTGTGTGTGTGTGTATTTATATTTGTAATCCTTTTATGTACGCAGGGTGCTAAAGCACTAAGTGCCATAAATTTGAGTAAGAAAAGAAATTATAGATTATTTTATGTCAAATAACATTTCATGAAGTACATTCTTTTTTAGTAAAATTCTTTCATAATAGTATGCGATTTTTAAAATTCTCTATTTAGGTTGATCATGTACTAAAACCTTTGACCCGCGCACCAATTATGTGTTAAATAGTGGGACTTTGTTGAATAATGAAGGAGCAATTTTAGTCGGCTAAGGTCAAATGGCATCTGATAGCTTCCTTTGACGTAGAGAGGATCTTCCACGATTAGTAAGCCGGATTTCCATTTCCTGTAAACTCCGACAATCGATTTTCCTAACTCCGAGATTTCTATGATTAAAAAGATGCATATCGTAGACCGTTTTCCATCAAAGAGGATAAATGATTGTGAATGAAGATAATTAAATACATTATTATTTAATATCATTGATTATGCCTCTCCGATAAATTTTAAAAATAATTTGCAAATATTTTTTTTAACAAAAGTTTCTTCAAAAACTCATTTTCAAGCTCATCATTTAGTTTGTCATTTTTTATTTATTAAATACGATAGTTAAACTTTATAAATTGAATACATATTAAAATAAAGTTGTAATTATAATTGACAAGCAAATGAGATATCTTTGTAATTTGATGTTCTATTAATAAAAAAGAGCTGATCTTTTTATTCTTTTGCTAAAAATCTAGATTATAAAAGAATTACTTTAAAACTATTTTTTGTGATATGATGACAAAATGTACATTAACATTGCATTATTTGATATTACATTAACATTTATTAATATCTAACTTATATCAGTAATGCCCAAATTACGATTTATTTTATAGTTATCTTCACAACACGATTACATTTCAAACATTGTTAAATTTAAGAAAAATCTTTATAATTCTTTCTTAAAAAGATATCAAAGTAATGCAGAATGTTTAAAGAAATAGTATTAAATTAAGATAATCTAGTTACTATTAAGTTTTAATTTGTAAAACATTACTTTATTTTAATCACCTCATTTAACAGAAAAGAAATTTTTTAAATATATATTTTAGATTTATAAGTTTATTTAAAACAATTTGGGCGTCACTAATTTACAAAATTATGAAGAAAGATGTCACATATCGCATGAGATTTAAAGTTTTTCAGTTGTATAATCAAATCCTATGAGAAATTTCAACTCCACATTGCAATGGACATCTGTCCATCTCCTTTAATAAAAAATTTGAATAATTGATAATTACAATCCAAGGAATTATCTTGATACGAGATTGGTTGCAGGATGTTGAGAAATTAATACGTTTGCTAAGATTAGATTATTCTTATACATAATGATGCTTTTCGTAGGAATTATTTTGATTCTTCGGTTAAGAAAATTTCGTAAATTTACAAAATGCATTTGTAAATGTAAATAATTTTATAATTTTGAATAAAATCAATGAAGAATTATAAACATTTTTTAATCAATTCATTTTTAATCAATTTTTGAAAAGTGAAACGATAAATACACCTTAGTCTGTAGAATCAATTAATTTGATTAAATAATACAAATTTGATTAATCATAAAAAACAATTTTACTAAAATAAACTTTGATTTGAAAATAAATATCCTAATTATAAAACAAAAGAAGTAATCTATCTGATGGAATCTACTGGATTATGTTTCAAATAAAACAGATTCTATTTGTGGAAAATAGATATTAAGATACTAAGAATAAAATGAACAAAATGAGAAGAAAGAAGCGATAGATCAAAAGCGTATTACATAAAAAGTGTCTATAAGCTGGACGTAATCTCGAAAACTTTAATACATTGTCATTTCCTTTCGTCATTTCCTGTGCCGGAACTTTCTCGTTCTGTAAAGTAAGACATAAAAAACATGTTTGTTACATGTTTAT